CAACGAGGGCTCGCGACCCTCACCCATCATAGGCAAGGCCATGCTGGCTCTCACCAAAATCGAGAGAGGGTCGTGGCCCTCTCCTTGATTTGGGGCGGTGACAACATGCGGAAGGTCCGCCACCTATATTTTTTTCTTTTAAAAAAAAACTTTTAGTTTTCTTTTACATTTTTTAAATCTAATTTACCTAAAATTTAGATTAAAAATGAGATTTTGATCAAAACAATGTCGTCTTAATGCTTAAGTTAATCTTAACGTCACGTAGAAGAGAGAAAATATTAAAAAAAAAACACATCAGCATTTTTCATTAGTCAAATTTCACGGACTAAACGGAATGACTTGATCGCACCAATTTGATAAGTTTTAGGATTTGATTGCACTTTTTACAAATTTTAGAACTCAATCGCACTTTTATGACAAGTTTTAAGACTTTTAATATACTTACCCCTATACATTTAACTCGAATACATGAGAGGGATTCCTAGTTTGACACCCGAATGATTTATGGTGTGAGGTTGGTTGATAAATTTTACTTCTATAACTAAACAAGTATTGAAAATCACATTTCGCAAAGAATGTTAACATCCTTATTGCATGCATTCGAGTCCAAAAACTAATAAATTCTAACCACGGCGTTAGGCCAGGTTCAGAATCAATTTGTACACTAAGGCTCCGTTCGTTTGGCGGAAAATATTCTCCTTTTGGAAAATATTTTTCCGGAAGTCATTTTCCTGGAAAATATTTTCCCGGAACATAATTTTCCGGTGTTCGGCGACCAATATGAAAAAGTTTCCGAAAATATTTTTCGCTGGCGACCGGCGGCGGGTGGCGGCGTCTGCGGCCGGCGACCGCGACCGGCGGCGGCAAGCAGCGGCGGCCGGCGACCGACGGCCAACGTCCGGTGTCCGGCGGCGGCGGCGGCGGGCTGTCGGCGACCGGCGGCCGGCAGCCCAGCGGGCGACCGCACCGGCGGCCGGCGACCGGCGGCGGCGGCGGCGGCCGGCGACCTTAGTGAAGAAGAAGAGGAAGAAGCTCCGGCAAAATGATTTCCGCTTTTGAAGAAGCGGAAGTCATTTTCCGTAGACTTAAGCTATTTTGTAAGGTGGGGAAGGAAAATATTTTTCCACGGAAAACGTTTTCCGCCCCCCGAACACCGGAAAACCCGGAAAATATTTTCCGGGAGAATATTTTCCGCCAAACGAACGGAGCCTAACTTTGGTTCTAGTTACCTAAACAGTACAATATTGAGTCTTCAGTTTCATTGGCTTGGTTCAATCTATTATTGTTATTATTATTATTATTATTATTATTAGGCGAACTTCATCTCTAACCCCTTTTTGTTTGCCTTATTTATAATATATTTGCACTCGTCATTCGATTCTCTATGAACAACTAAAGATCCAAAGTGTATACAAACAACAAATTCGTGATGATAAATGTTACACGTTCCCAAGTAGGATTTTATATGTTATCAACCATGGTCAATTATATTCTAGAATATTACATGCCGACGTGAGCGTTTACATTATCTAGCAGACACATAATTCCCCAATATTCAGAAAATAAATAAATAAAACTTAATTTATGTTTGCAATATGAGAAAGTATTTTGTGTCTCGGTTTTATACCAAAAAAAAAAGAGGTTAAGCTATGTTATAACTGTGCCAGAATGAAAAGATTAATATGTAGGTTTATGATGACCTGTGTCCTAACTATTCATTAGTTTATTGATTCGATTGAGTTATCATAAGGAAATGGGGCCAATTAAAAAAAAAACATCAATTTTACCTTGAGTAACAATTTTGTCCGAACTTTTTTTGTTTCAATAAAAAATACCAACTTTTACTCGAGTCTCAAATCTGGCTCCCCTGATGTGAAATTTTCAAATTGTTCGGGCCATATTTGGGATTTAAGTGAAAGTTTGTGATTTTCTATGAGACAAAAAAAAGTTCGGGCCAGAATTGTCACTTAAGGAAAAATTGGTGCTTTTTTTTGGGAATTAGGTCTAAGGAAATGACCCTCTTAATTTATCCCTAGATAGGTATGATCCATGTCCATATGCATTAATAGTACAAGAATAATGGCAATAGGGTTTAAGATAATTGGAGGTACCGACATCCTACAAGTAATAGGATTGAACATGTGTGCAACATGGTCATGACTCGTGCGAGCATGTCCTTGAAATGGACCGCCACCCCAATCATTCTTTGATGGAGAAACGTGACTTTGATAATTTGACATCTTGAACTCCATTTTTGAGGCGTGCTATAATCTGAACGTATTAATATTTGCCTTTTCTAACACCTTCGACTAAATGATTCACTCATTTCGCATTCATAGAGCTCATATCAGGTTGAACGGTCCTTTAAAGTTTTGACCCGGTGATGCTGGGTCGAAGATATTGTTTGATCTGGTTCATGTTAGTTGTCACCCAAGATTTGTACATAGCCGATTGGTCCTTTCTGCAAAAGAACAAGAGCAAGAAGTAGGGGTAATCGGTTCTCGAGCGGTCCGGTTCCCATCCAAAAACTTGGAACCGATCGGTGTAGTCCGGGTGGTCCGGATGGGCAGTTCCACCTCTGGAATTAGGAATCAGACCGAAATCAACCGGTTCCAATTTTATGGAATCAAGAACCGGACCGGCGATCCCGAAAACCGTCCAGAACCGACAGGTTCGGTCTGGTCGGGCAATTCCTTTTTCTTACCCCTAGCGAGAAGTTATGGCTCGAACCAAAAGAACAACAGACACTCTGTCTCCCAAACCAACCCTAGTCACACAAGCAAATCACATAACCCAAATCCTTGACGAGCTAAATACCTGTAACCCGTCTTACCATAATTCAAATATAGTCCAGAAGCCCAACTTGGCTGGGCTTTTGCAAAGCAAATTGGGCATACATGGACTCCTACTTTGCAAAGCCCAAAGCTGGACTTTGGCCCTTTAGCCAATGAGAGAGAAGGTTTACAAATCGCAAGGGCTATGTTAACCCCGTTTGTCCCCAATAATCACTCAAATAATCTCATCCATTTGGCTTGATCATTAATCACAGGTTCTTGCGCAGTCGAATCTAGATATTTAGGGCCCGTAGTACCGAGTAAATTCTGGTGTGAATGACATTTTATTGCATGTAAGAGTCACAGCCAATAATTTCGTCACATTTTCAATGTAATATTTTGTTTTGTTTTTTTTTTGTTAATGAATTATTTCTCATTTGAAGGCGAAAAAGTGAACTGTCATTCTATCGGTGAATTCACATTTCGCGTTCCGATATTCACCAAAGTAGCCTTTTAAATTAGGATGGCACGCTGAAAACCAAGTTAAGTTGAGATTGAGTTGCAACAAACCTTAAAAAACCTTAAAAAGTATAGTCCGGATTTACTTTTTCGCATTAAGAATCAAATCCCAATCGAAAGAACTACCCAAAAATTGACATTTCGGAAGTTCAGTTAAATAATCTTTTTGATATCAATATACATTTTCATTTTCAAAAAAATAAAAATAAATATCCCTTATGAATTGAACATTAGTAATACGTAGCTAAGACCCCTTCCTTTCTTCTTATATGACATAAGGTATCATAATATTCGATTCGACTAATCCTCACTGCAAATACATGCAAATTGTCATGTCCATGTGCATCAATTAAAGTTTGCTGACAAGACGACAAATTTGTCCGTTTGAGTTGCTCTGAACGATTGATGCTGTGATTCAATTACATGATTCAAAACATCCAAAACCGAGCCCTTGATTACTTAAACCCTTAGGAGTTCACATCGCTAAAATCTATTTCCAATTAAGTATAGTTTGGTTCAATCCGGGCATGGATTAGTTAGTCCTAAGTTGTCTTAATACTTTTCCAACGTCGCTACAGAACCTTACGATTTCAGTGTCATTTTTCTTATGTCGCTATGAAATATTATGTTTTGCAAGTAATTTTTGGTTTTTCTTTTGTGCACATAATACGTGGCACTTGTTTGCTAGTAAAGTCTATTTCCAATCATTTTTTGCGAGTTCACATAATGTTTTCAAGGACTTGTTTGTTTGAGCCTATTCTTAGTGAACTATTATTAAAGAACAAACCAAATATCTGGATTATAAGAAAAAAAAGGTTAATACCATAAAAAATCCCAAACTGGTACCCTCGCGACATATTTACTCTCCGTTAGCTTCCGTAAAATTTTACTGTAAAATTGCTGAGCTGGATGATACCTAAGAATAACTCAATTAACATGGCAAGTATATTCATTTTGGGTTTTTGGTGATTAAAAAATTAATTTTGGGTAAATCTATTATAAGTGTACTAATTTAGGGTAAATTTGACACCCGACAAAAACTTAATTGACATGGCAAGTTTACGTGGAAATCCACATCAGTCTGGAGTATATTTGTTACAGGTGTATCCATTTGGGATTTTTCATGATCCAAAAATTAGTTTTAGGTAAATTTTATCATAGATTTGCCCTCACCCATTCGGAGTAATCCAGATACTACTTCGGGTGGGTTTTTCCTTGTATTAAAAAAAAAAGGGAAAAAAAAGGGAAAACGAAGGAGTATCACATTGATATAAGGCTTATCAGTTATCAACTCTCGTTATCACGCGCCTGCGAATTCCCTCCGCTGTTCGCTTCCCTCTCTCTCTCTCCGGCGAAGGTACGTACGCCTTCACTACCAACTCTCTCTCTGCGAACTCTCGTGGTCGCTTGCGACATCCTCAATTTCCATGCTCGAGAGGCGCCCTGTCGTGTTCCTCTCTCTCGCATGTACTGTGTCGCTCGTGGGACGGACTCGCTTGTCTTGTCCGGTGGTCGTGTCTCAGTGTGGTCGGAGTTTGCTTATCCGAGTGTTGCAATTGCTGTGTCTTCTCGGGAATCGGTGCGATTTTGTTATAGTTTTGCTGTGCGGGAGGATGGCGTGGACTGGTTTTCCGGTTCGTGTTATTTGCTGCTCCAGTGTGCAAATTTGATTTGTCAATCGATTAGGAAGAGCATTGATCGTCGTCGCGGTCTCTCGATTAACGCGATAAGTGGTCTGTTGCTGATGGGGGGAACTGCACGCTTTGATTGTGCAGAAGATAGGGAGATAGGCGGTTCGCTGTATAGGCCCGCCTCCGGAAGGCGTCCGGATTCTTCTTTGAATAGGTAGTCCTGACCGAATGATTTGGTGCCTAGGGATTTCGAGAAAACTTGCCTTGTACGGCTGTGTTCATGGAGTTCTGCGTTTTGCCGTTTAATGCGGTCTTCGGCATTCTGTAAATGCTGGCCCTTTTTTTGACAGATTTTAATCTTCGGCTCATTTCGATGAATTGCTGAACTATTAGCTGCATGATTTGTGCTATGTTCATCTTCCTCTCGCCATCGCTAGTCCCCTGCTGCATCTTTGACATGAAGCCCTACTACTTTCAGGGAAATTATAAAGAGATGTCCTATGATTCCGGGAAAGATAATGCATCTGTGGTTGATTCATCAGTGACAGAAGGGAGGCATGACATGGGGGCTTTGGATGAACCTGGTAAGGAATGGATAATTTTGTACAGTTGAAACATATATCTTCCAACAATGGATAACTTTTTTATGCAGTTGAGACATATGTCTTCCAATATTAATGAAAACTTGTCTAGCCTGTGGATGCTCGAAATGCTACTACATTTAGATCATGTTGGTTGCCTGATATCAGAACATTTTTCTAAGTTCTAGCGTTTATTACTGCTGCTTGACTTAGGGAATCCACTTGTCCTCTTTCCGTGTTGAAAAAAGTCCTGGTTTTCTACTGTTATTTAGCAGAACCACAAAATTAAGAATTAAGAGTTTGTCTTCTGCATGACCATTATCCTCGGCAAATGTAGCTGAACTCTTGAATGGAAGATCTTCAATAAATAGGATAAATATATGTATTGGAGGCGTGCTACTCAGCTTTTACTTGGAAAGTAATCGACAATTTGTCTCTTAGTATATTGTGTTTCAGCAAGATCACAGACAATTTTGAAATGTCATTGCAAATGCTTAACTGTGCTAAGGGTAAAGAAGGACGTAAATGGGGATACTCGTGTTGCTCTATCAAGCCCTTTTCTTTTCTTGTTTGTCCAATCTGCCAAGTATGTGAAACATTTCATGCAGTGAATGCTTTTGCTCTATCAGGCATTGTTTTTTCAAACCACTAAATCTGTAGAACGATGCAAGTAGTAGAAAGACTAGAAGCCTAGTTTTGATTGTTTCTTTTTTCCCTGTAAGTGAGAGAAGCTCATAATGATTCTTTGAAATTTGGCTTTCCTCTAAGGGTTTTTTTTTTGGAGAATGTTGTAATTATTTTTCCGCTGATAGCACCTTTTTAGTTGATTTGTGCTTCATTGGATGTGAAGAGAAGGCAGTGATGTAAGACCTAAAAGTAGTTTTCTTTTGGTGGTCAAGTGTCTACATGTGCAAAAGGTGATAGTATTTGAGACAGGAATATTTGATGAATGTATTGGCACTCTAGAAAGAATGGCATGAGAAATGAGTACTTGAGAATAAGTAGGAGTGGTTCCCTTTAAGTATGAGGTGATAAGAACTCGTTTGATCTGCTGTGGAGGCGGTTTTTGAGTACTCTTGTGAAAAGATCTGACAATATGTCGTGGTCATGGCATGGGGAAAAGGTATAGGAGAACGAAGAGAGGAAGATTTGAATTATGTTGTGTACTGAAGAGGAAGCAAAGCCACTAGGCCATTTTTGTAGACAATTATCAAGTATGGGAACAGGTCTCATTGCCATCGTTTGGATGTTCTTAGCTGCTCAATTAGTGAGACTCCCTACCTTGCAGTTGTTTTTCTCCCAATGTCATGTCGTCCCTGTGAATTCTTTGTGAGTCGGTATTTGGTTCATATTCTTCTTTAGACTTTTTGAACTAGATTGTTTATCACCTGGCAGCTCCGTGCTTAAAGGTGGAAGCTTTGCTGGTTGGCTAGGGTTTACATGAAGCTGATATATGCCTAATGGAGGAAATTAGGAGGATCGGTGACTGGTCAGAAGGCCAGCTTAGTGAACTAGTTCCCTTTGCACTGCAGTGAGGCAGTCGAGATATTTTGTGGGACTTGGCATCTATGTCACAGGTTTCTGCAAATTTGCACCCTGATCTAGGTGTTTGGTTGTGCGGTATCAATTTGGCGGGATAACTAATTTAAGTGATACCACTGGACTGTCTGTGAGCATTTGATTGGCCAGGATGCCAAGTGATGCATCATTTAGACTGTTTCTTATGTCATCTTGCACTTATCTTTCAAAGGTGTTAAAATTTGGTAGGCATATGGAAATTTGTATTGTTTATAATTGAGCTGTATCAGGAGTGCGAGTGGACTAACTCCCCTTCCCCCCTTCCTTTTTGCTCCTAAAGCTGGTTCTTTTCTTACAGAAAGTACAGATAAACAAAACCAGGATCAATATCCCTCTAACTCAGAAGAACCAGGGTGTGGTCATGATAAAATGGGAGATTCAATTGCCAACAGAAAGGGTAGATGGTATAGCACTAGGTATTTTATCATTAAGAGTTTGAATCATCACAATCTCCGACTATCAATTGAGAAAGGAATCTGGGCTACTCAGGTTATGAATGAACCCATTTTGGAAGAAGCCTTTCATGTAAGAATGCCTATTTTCTGTATGTTTATACGATGGTTTCTCAATGTATATGTTTTAGAGAGACGTATGCTTGGTCTTGCAGAATTCTGGAAAGGTGATTTTAATATTTAGTGTCAACATGAGTGGGTTCTTCCAAGGGTATGCTCAAATGATGTCTCCTATTGGGTGGAGGAGGGACAACGTGTGGAGTCAAGGCAATGGTAGAAATAATCCTTGGGGCCGCAGTTTTAAGGTCAAATGGCTGCGGTTATATGATTTGCCCTTCCAGAAGACTCTTCATCTTAAGAACCCATTTAATGACAACAAACCTGTCAAAATTAGCAGAGATTGTCAGGTTTCTTTATCTTGATGTCTTTATCCTTTTTCCATGATCTGCCTATTGAAAAGAGTCTAAGTGCTTGCTTTATCTTTGTCAGGAGTTACCCCAGGATGTTGGAGAAGCTCTTTGTGAGCTGCTTGATTGTGATGCTGATGTTGATGGAGAAACTAGAAGGTATGTCTAGTCTATGTAATGAATTGTGCTAGATATTGTTTAATGCAAGTGTAGGAGCCTTCTTAAATGTTGGCTAACCAAAGTGGTTTTATCAGGGATTCTGCCTCTCTTGAAAGGACTTCCATGTGTTTGGTACAGGGGGAAGAATATAATGGGCCTGCAGTACACATGCCATGGGCTATGCCTTATTCTTCTCTGTACTATCCGCAACATGCTGAAGCCGCCAGAAACAATTTAGCGTATGGTAGATCAGCAGGCACCTTACTTTCTGAGGACTTAGCTGTCCCATCTGGAGTATCAAAAGTTCCAAAACCAAAACATCCTCTGGCAAATGGAAATACGCCTGCTGTATCACATCGAGATGTTACTCCACGATATGATATGTGGGGTTTGTCCACTGGAAGTCCTCTTGCTAGTACCCTAACAGAAGATGACTTTCTTGACATGGTATCCACTAGTTTTTGATTCTTCATTGATGAGCACAAGTTTATAGCTTTTTCTGGCGTACTGAAACCACCCTCAAAGTAACCTGCCCTTGAAAATTTTGCATATCATCATGAGGAACTGATACTCAAAAAGAGGATTGCTCTTTTTCTGATGGGGTTGAATTGTTTCTGTTGCCTCTTCTTTACAATTAATTGTTTCATGTCTAGTATTGGTCACAATGGTTTGTAGAAACATTATCTCTTTTATTCCTTTATTATAGTAAAGATACTCAAGATGAGTGCAGTTTCTTGCATGATCTTGCTATTGCCAAAGTATGAACTTCTGAAACTGATAAATGCTGCTGTGATTAGTCAAAGGAGGACCATGACAGAAGAACAGAAGCAGGTGTCTGTTTCATAGCTTTTTGTACTGAGTGTGAATAGAGCCAGCAAGACAGTTATCTGATTCTGTTATCCAGTTGACCAACATTCTGGATCACAGAAATGTTTCATTTGTTAAACATGAAGCTAAGTCTGACAATCTTACGCTTATATTTGGTGATGTTCTATGTATCTGATCACTTTGCTTTTTGTACCCAAAAAGGGGTGGCAAATGGCAGCAGTGCAAGAGATGGGATGAAACTGAGAAGGGCTTAATTCACTTTCTATCCTTAATCTATCTCTACTTGTTGTGAGCCCAATGCTTGAGGGTTGAGATGCTGTTTCTGTTTTGCCTTTCTCATAGTGCATTGCACAGGTTGGTTGAGATTCTGAGTGGATGTGATGGAATTGCAATTTGATAGTTAAGTATTTGTGTAGAAATTCTAGCTTTCTCGCGGTAAAGCTTTATATCGTGCCTTTAGCAAATCTTTATACTTAATGTATTCTTTCCTGGATCAGATTATACAAGTTCTGCACTACTTCCCTATTCTTGTAGTGTGCATTGCATCCTAGTGTTACATATATCTGTTATTTACTTTGAGTTGGTTGCGGGCACATGTTTGCGTTCTAACGAGTAAATCTTTGGGATTGGCATGCAGTCATATGAAGAATACCTGGAAGTCCATAGCAGAAGCAGCAGAAAGATGTGCCTTCCTGTTAGTATACATATTACCTATGCCATTGTGGTTAATTCAAGTCATTTACCTCATAAAATTTAAATTTGTAGAGATCCACCAAGGGATGTTCATAATTAGGTCTTCCTGCTTTGATGATTGATTATTTATAGTTGTAGTCTCTTGATCATAGAGCAAACTAATAAATATCCAGTTACCATTTGCTAGCTACATATTGCTTTACCTTGTGTAATATTTATCTGTTACAAGATGCGACTCTTTTAGAGCAACTTTTTGATACTATGCACAAAAATATTCCGACTTTCACTTTTGAATGTGGATGTAGTGTCCCTGTATCACCTTGTATATTTTAGTAACATGCCAATATATCTTAAATATGTCATTTTGTGATTTATAGTATGCTGGCTTGATGAAAATGTATTGTGTGATCTTAAGATTACAGCTACTTAGCTGATGTGCGATGACAGCATGTTTCTCTGGCTTTATTCTTGTCTTTGGCACCTATCTCTTCATCTAGGTCTTATCCCAGAATTTCTGATAGAAGAATAATTTGTCTATTAAAACTTCAATTTGATGATAAAGTCTACATAAAAAGAAAGTTAATGCATATCAATATGGTGTTAGATGTGAGTGTGACATAGAAAGTAAGGAGAAGATGTAGGGGCACTCCTCGCATTGGTGTTCTAATATTATCTGTATGCTGTCATTTCTCCATTGCCTTCTCTTGATTTTAAACTGGTCTTGGGCTTCACTCCACTTGGTTTTGCTACTTATTCCGTATCAAATTGATGGTTGCTTTGCACCTCTCTGTGGAAAGAAGGGGTTCTTTGATTGTGGTCTGTTCTTTTCAATAGGCTATGATAGAGGATCTGGACTGCCTTTGATGGTGCTTATTTTGAATCAAAACTGAGGGTGAAATTAGTTGGCAGATGTCAATCTTGCCGTGGTACAGTGTTCCCTCATTAAAGTCTCACTAGTTTCCCTCCCTGACTAAACCGGCCAAGAAAATAAGGAAAAATTGAACATATAGAGAAAAAACTTAAAAGCCATACTATTCTGCTTCTAGCATTCCTGTCTGGTAGTGTGTGCTCAAGTTCAGGGATTGCCACTTGTTGCAGGCGACAGGATCATCTTGGCCACCTAAGGAATCACCAAGAAGTAGAAAACAAGATATACATTTGTAAGACCTCTCTCTCTCTCTCTCTCTCTTGTGTCCCGGATGCTTTCCCTCCCCCTCAACTGCACACACTTGCTCACACATGGTTTCACATGCAAATTGTTGTTGGAAATGGAAAGGGATTCAGTTTTATTTCAGTTATTTTCTCACCAAGGCATTCTGTTTTTGCAGAAATCCGGGTCTCGCATCTGAACAGAGCACAAGGAAGAGGCCGCACCATTCTTTGGAGAGATGATTGGATATGAAGGATTTAGTCGTCTGATGTGAAAAAATTCCTTCTGTGACGGGGCTGTTACTATTTGATATTGTCCTTGTCATTGTATTGGATTGATTACCCTGTATTGTTGTATGCGTGTTCTGCTGATGATATGTTATAGGACTTAAACGGGGGCCCTAGAAACTTGTACATAATTGTATGGGCAATTGCCTGAATTCCCATCTGTCCCATTATTTGGCAAAGAGCAAATTCTCTTTCATAAATTCTCTTGGAACATGTGTAGTTAGGCAGATGGAAGTATCTCATTGAGAGTATCTTCGACTCTTTGAATAGGAAAGAAACGGATCAAGATCGGCGCATGACTGAAGTTCCATAAGAAATTCAGAATGTAATTAGATGACTTGTGGTCAATTTGTCCATGTGACCTGGGTTAAATCACTCCTTTGTAACTTCTGTTTGGTGTCTGAAGTTCTTTCATTATAGTGGCTTCTTGCTTAAGACGTGGCATATCATAGTTCTTATTTGGGCAGTGAAGTAAAGCAAAAACTTGCACACAAAATGGACATATGCAACAGCTACACGCTGGATGAACAAGAAGACTGAGAAATGAATGTCAAGAAAGACAGGAAAGATTAAGTTGGCATCTGAAATTAAATGTGATAATTGAATGAGTTAAATGGGCATTTGAGCAGTGGAAGAACAATGCAATTGAGTACTCTGTAAATGTGATACTGAATGAGTTGAAAGGGCCCTTGATTTTGGATTTCTATCTTATCCGTATATCTTGTGAATCCTACCATTTGATTGGCAATGCTAATCATGCTTAGGACAGTACTTTTAGCAAAGAGCGAGTAATACTTTAATGGACAAATGCACTATGACCAAGGTGTTTGGAAGTATATCGAATTCTGATGCACCAGTTCTCTGCTTGTTCTGTATTGTGCTCTGGGGCAACGTAATTCTATAACTCATGGATTGCTTAACATGTTAAAACAGCGATGAATAATGAATGTTTCTCCTCTCCTTGCTCATAGTTTAGATCATTAGAGTTTACCAGAATTGATTTTCATTCATGGTTTCTGCTCTCTTTGATCAATCACGGTAAAATGAGGAACAAATCAATTCCTTATTTATGCTTTTAACAACTTCTTACATGAACTCAACTGATATAGGACTCTTAACAATGTAGTTTCCAAAATCCCACCTCAAATATCCTTGGGTGAATTCACCTGCCATGTAAGTAGCATTGACACGGCTGAATGTGACCAACTATGTTGCTTTATGGTTTAATTTCAAGAAGTTGAGTCCGGAAGGCTTCACTTTGACAGACACGCCTTGCGGGGAACAACCGTTAGGACAAACATAAGATGAATTGCCAACATTAGTCACGGTCCTTGTAAATGTCTATGGTCCAAGTACAACCGAAAATGGGGAAAATTACCAATTCAGTCCTCAACCTATTGCATTTGTGCCAATTCAGTCCTCAACCTTTCAATTTGGCCAATTCAGTCCTAAACCTTTTGCAAACCAGCCAATTCAGTCCTTTTGGCCGGGGGGAGGCTCGCCGGCGAGGGCTCAGCTCCGGCGAGGCAAGCTCCGCCCTCGCCGGAGCTCGCCCAGCCATGATGGCGAGCCGGGCGAGGCGAGCAGCTCGCCATGGCCGGGCGAGCTCCGCCTCGCCCCGGCCGGCGGCGAGGGCTCAGCCGCCCTCGCCGGAGCCGGGCCCTCGCCGGCGAGCCCCCCCGGGCCTGGATAGGCCAGGGGGAGAAGGAAAAGAAAAAAAAAGAAAAAGAAAATCGAAAATAATAATAAAAAAATATTAAAATATTGCCACATGGCGCCGGCCGGCGGCCACGTCAGCGTCGGCCGGCCAAAAGGACTGAATTGGCTGGTTTGCAAAAGGTTTAGGACTGAATTGGCACAAATGCAATAGGTTGAGAACTGAATTGGTAATTTTCCCACTGAAAATGAATATAGTTCAGCTCCCCCAGGAATGCTTGATACTCTAGAGCATTTGATTGGTTCGTCTCGTCTGTGCATCAGGTTGGCTATCGTACACCAAACCTGGATCAATGGCCTTTCGTGGATTGACTTGGCCTGCCCCAATGGCGAAGACATCCGCAGGTTAAAGCCTTTCATCCAGAATGGGTCCTTTCCCGAGGTTCAGTTGTCCCGCAGATGTCATGATGGCAGACTTCATCGCCGCAGGTGTCCAATGAGGATGAGCCCGCTTTACCAAAGCCGCGATTCCGCTGAGGTGAGGGCAAGAAAAGGAAGTGCCAGATTCAATATTAAAGACAAGGTCTGGTTTTTTACCCTTCCTCTAAAGAGGCGGTGATGCCGCTAAGATATTTAAACATGGACCAATAATATGAGGCTTCAGAATACCCAGACTAGCCAAGCTGGGGCCTCTTGAAGAGGAGGAGGAAACCGCAGACGCGGTTGGGTTTGCCGTTACTGTTCCTTTGAAAATAATGGTGGCAGTAGGATTTTTCGTTGAATTGATGTAGGCTGTGATCCTCTCCCCAATAAAATAGCTGACTTTCGATGTAGAGAGGACATGCACTTCTTCCATGATAGTGGATCCCTTAACTTCTCCATTCACCAGGATTATGGCAGCCCCACCAGCTTCTTTCACCGTCTGCCCCTGCCATCCATCAGGGCCTGAGCTATTTGACACGACATAATCTTCCCTTTCACTTTGAGGACTTCAAGGCTTCTGAGCCACATTGATCATGTTCCATCCCCGGATATATAACAGGAAGCAAAATCGAAGACATGAAGTAAACACATGAATATTCAAACATTTATAGGTATATGGCGTGTCCACCACATGCATCTTGCGTGCACACTATATGGTTATCGTCCATTTTTACTAAATCACTTGAAAACTTAGTGAAAGTCACAAATTATATTTCTTTATAATAAGTTTTAGGACTTGATTGTACTTTTTGAAAGTTTTAGAATTTAATTGCACTTTCATGACAAGTTTTGGAACTTGCAGCATACTTATCACAATTTTTAAGACTTAGACTATCTAATGATTAATTGGATAGTGTAAACAGCTGGATGCTAATTACAATTGTCATTGCATTTGTTGACACTCAAAATTACCCCTGGTGGGAGTGGGCCGGTTACAAGTCACAAAGGACATAAGGTACGGCCCACATGGCATGAATCCGAAGAAAGGCTGTGAGTCAGGCCTAGAGGCATTGGGAGGTAGTTATCGACAGGACACGTCATAAAAGTGTCGACAAATCCAAGATCACAAGCTTTGCACGTGACGTCGACAAATCCAAGATCACGAGCTTTGCACGTGACGTCGATGAGTCCAAGATCACGAGCTTTACACGTGACGTCGACAAGTCCAAAATCACGAGCTTTGCATGTGATGTCGATAAGTCTGAAATCACGGATTAAATACATGATGACACGTGGTAAAGAAATTTATTTCCACGTGTCAAAAGGTAAAGACATGACCGTGGGCGTGAAGATCAAGGAAGTTAAAGAATGAACTTGGGAAATAGCAAGGAATAAAGAGACACATGGAAGAAAATCAGCTATTACGTGATGCCCAAGGAGTGTAGGCAACATCGATAAGTCAGGAAGCGGTTAAAGCGCGAAACGTAAGGAAGTGGAAAACGACTTTCAAGGAGAAGTGGCCGGTCGACAGTTATCAGGCTGCTCTATAAATACTCAAGGATTTCCAACGTAGAAGGGACCTTCACGAACAACACAACACATCTTTTTATCTAGCCTTACTTTTAGCACATTAGGAGTAGTCGTAGTTGCAACTTTCAGATTCCACGTCGTAGATTCAATTCCGGCGAGAGTCTTTATCAGGTTTAGCATTGTTGATTAAATTCCAATGTTGTGCCACCGGTTTAGCGTCGTCGATTAAATTCCGGCATTGTGCTTAGAATATAGCTGTTAATTAGATTCCAGCCATATTTTCTCAAGTTACGTCATTGATTAGATTCTGGCGTACCTTGAATGGCAATGTCGTATTAGTTGTGTCGTTGATCAGATTCCGACATAGCTTGATCTCGACATTTGCAAGTTTTCATCTTATTGTTAGTATTGTCGAGTTTGGCGTCTTATCGAGTCAAGTTGTAAGACATAAGTTGGGTTTAATAAACGCATTTGACATTCTCTGTCCAAGCTTGATTCAAGACCCTAGTCTCCTCTAATAAAATCCAAAACGCAGTGTTCGGTGAAAGATTTTCGACGGGATAAAAACCGGCGAAACAACATTGTAAAATTAAAACGAAAAACCTAATTTCTTATGAAATACCAACATAGTTTTTAAAAGAAAAAAAAAACCCTAATGATACTAGAGTTAGTACTTCTCCACAATAATACTTGATGGTGACTTCAAATCAAAACAAAGGTCGACTTAACCATTTCATTAACTATGAGTTTAACAATATTTTCAAATGACTCTTTCAGAGATACTATCATGATGTAAGCACATGAATATTCACACATTTATATGTATATGGCGTGCATATGGCGTGCACAACACGTGCATCCCGCGTGCACATGCATGAAAGTTTTTCATCACAAGACATCTATTTGACGTGTTTCTTCATCATTGATTATTGTCTACTCAAACAGATAATTATCTTCGAGCAATGCGTGATCCTACCTTGGCTTAGCGCAACTCTTGGGAAGGGCAGTGTGATTTCAAGCCTGCTGAATGTAATGACTACTTAATCGGCACAAAGGCCTTTCGTAGCTCAATGTTGATGGATTCTATAGGGCATGTCACTGAGACTGCTAGTATCACTGCTGGCACTTCTCTGGACCCTGCCGACGGCCGCAGCTAACAATGAGACTGTTAACATATTTATCCTTTCATTTGTGGCAACATATTTGTTGAGGTACAATGAGACAATTCAACTCATTGCTAACAAAATTTCTCACACCAATGAGCTTGTTATTGCAGACAGTGGCATTGAAGTCACACTTGCCTTTCCATTTAGCAGGGGAGGGGACATTCTTTCGTCGTCGAATGAAGGGTGACCTAGCTTTATTCCCGTGTCCAGGACTCTGATGATCACGCCCTTGCCCAAAGTCGAGTCTTTCCAAATTCCCACCCTGGGTTCAAGCCCAAGAAGGAGGGCGAGTGAGTCGTGTGCAACGAGAAAATCTTATCTTGTTTCGCATACACAACCGCATCCAACTTCACAAGTTCCTTAGCCTTGGCCGATGTCATCTGTGTCGTGAATCCCGTGATCGCATTCTTGTAGGAATGGACCATACGCTTCGTCTGATCCGAATTCGCTGTCATCTGGGGCAGGAATGATTGGTACCAGCTCTGTAGATCCTCTGATCGGGCAAAAACTTCACCCGTTGGTTTTCTAACATGGACAATATAAGTAGACAAGACACTTCGTTCGTGTTCAAGAACCGTTTTGGCGGTCGTAAGATGAAAATCGAAAGAGCAAATGAAACCAACAAGTAAGAAAATCACCACGATTGGGAATTTGTCGCATCGGTTTTCCTCCATTTTTCAGCATTCTCAATCGACACTGATTGGTGGTCAACAGACATGGCCAGCAACATAAGGATATAATTAAAATTCATACTTTCGTGGGCTTTACGGGAAATTTTGGGTACAAATTTAAGAGCTAGAGAGTCTGCTTAATTAATAATAGATATAAATAGTGTTACTTGAAAAGGGAATAACTCATTTTGCTTGACCAAAATAAACACCCCTTTCGTCTATTTATTTGGCACTACGGGAGATACTATCCCTATGTAAAAACATAAATTCTCTCATACATGCACATATATATATGTGTGTGTGCGTGTGTTTTTTGCCCGTGTATGAAATTTTTTTCACTATTAGACATCTATTTAATCAAAGTCTTGGCATATTTTCCAATTATGATTTATTGTCTACTTAACCTGAAAAATCACACCTCATTCTCAATAATCAGTATTGCGAATCAAACAGAACTCAATCATTGCAACGTCATAAAAAAAAACTATGATCACTAATTACCACATAGAAAAATCACATGGCCTAACCTAATATGCATATTTCCTTATAGATCTAACATTTACCAAAAGAAAAAGGTCAGAGATATTTGGCGGTTGAGAATTATCCTTAAAAACAAGCCGGGTGACTTCTTCGTTGCACATTTTAATGCTTTCTATAAATTTTAAAGCATTTCCGGTGTACATCATTGCTCATAGAAGGCATTGCATGTCAACTTTTAATAGATTGATGAATCATATCATCGAAGCATGTAGAATACAATTTGCTGTTTAGATATTATCGTATTCAATTTTTTCAAATTAGTATGAAGACTTTCTTACTTTTCTAGGAGCATCGTCAAATTAGTGAAAAGCCATGCTTTATTTAGTTTGGAGATATGTAGGAAAAATTTAGATGCCCTTGTCCATGTGGCGTTCCCTAATGGCTAAGACCTTTATGACATAGATTTTATGTTATGGTACAACTCCTTCTTGTCCGAGAGCAACTCAACCACCTCAGGGAATCCTTGAATTCTCTACGCGTAGCGATAGGTGACGACCGGTTTCGCAGGACACTCACTCTTGGGGAGTTCGCTGTGATGAAAAACAAGAAGGGATTCCTTGCAGCTCACGTGGACAAGACGCATAAATTCCATACAACGCATAGTCCCGCCTTCTGAGGCTTGCCGCAGCAGCAGGAACACTCGTAGGCTTTGAATCAAATTCACACGCTAAACCCATCCTTCTCTACAAAAGTACCAGAGTTGGTCACTGAATGTAAAGCACCATTTCCCATACTTCAAATGACACTTTCAGAGATACTATCATGATGTAAACACTTGAATATTCACACATTTATACGCATATGGCGTGTGCACCGCATGCACATGGATGAAAGTTTTTCATCATAAGACATCTATTTGATTTGGCGTGTTTCTCCATCTCGGATTACTATCTACTAAAAAAGGTAATTATCTTCGAGCAATGCGTGATCCCACCTTGTTATGTGATTTCAAGCGAGCTGAATATAATGACTAATTAATCGGCACAAAGAACTTTCGTAGCTCTTTGTTTATGGATAACGTAGGACATGGCACTAAGACTGCCAGTATCACCGCGGGCATTTTTTTGGAGCCTGCCGACATGCACAGTTATTGGCATGGCACCGAAATCTCACTAGGTAATTTATAAGCTTGTTCCAATGCAGACATACTAGCAGAACTCATCGTCTCTATTGTTCAAGGAACCAGTCGCTTACGCACATTGGCAACAATCCAGAAGAAATCTTCGTGAGTTGCATCACCGGGAATGACGGGCCTTTCGGGAGCATCTTATTAAACTAGTTACAATAGCAGGATTGTCACTAATATGAAAATTGGAGACGGAATAGAATATAATAGCGAGTCACAATACCAACCGCATTTCCCTTCTAACTTTGCTTCCTCTTGTATGTCCAGAGATGGGCAGTAAACTAGATTTCTCATTATGTGGCTTGGGAGCCTTCAAAGACTGTGTTGCGTCAACAAACCGAGGGCCTTAATTGTGTATATATTAATCTTAATTGTATATATTCCTGATTGATTATAATTGATATTATAATATCTCGTCACCTTAGATAATTATCTTATAAAGCTTATAAATATGCTCATGTATGTCGACACCTGAGTTTTAGTCGACAATTCAAGCGTTTATTTTTGTATAAATGAAAATAAAATTAAATAAAAGTAGTGAAAAGACCAAAAAATAATAAATGAATAATACGCGAATTGACAAATTAACAAATAAAATGAATGGGGGCAAGTTCAATTTTAAGGCCAGCGCGTGAAGCCTATCTTGCGCGGTCCAATCCGACAAACCCATCAAGCTGAAGTGATTTCTATGCCTTGGGCTCAGCTATTAATTGAGTTCCATAGAGCCCATAATCCTTTGATGTGGGCCTAGTTTTTGGAATTCAATTCGAAATACTCTCTGGAAGGGCCAAGAAAATAAATAAACGTTGAGCCCAGCCCTTTGCCTTCACACACACACACACACACACACACACACACACACACACACTCTCTCTCTCTCTCTCTCTCTCTCTCTCTCTCTCTCTCCAGGTGAACTTTGCTCGTTTAGGCAAGATTACTTCATTTTTCATTTGATGCGAATACTTTCAAACGATGATGACGATGTATTTGTACTTGTCTGCCGATAAAATCAAAAGAACGAAGATGGAGGTTGGGGATTTCATGTAGAAGGGCATAGCGCCAAGTTTGGCTCTGCACTGAGCTGCATTGCACTGAGATTGCTTAGAGAAGGGCCTGGAGATGGCGAGGATGGAGCCGTGGCTAGAGGAAGGAAATGGATTCTTGATCATGTTGGTCTTGTGGGGACTCCATCTTGGGGAAAATTTTGGCTCACGGTATACGAATATATATGTCTGTTTTTTTCATTGGCACAAACTTAAGTTCAACTTGTTAATCTAGGATTTGAATACATCTGAACACGAGACCGTTAGCGAAAGAAAAAAGTCCTACTAAAAAGTTGTGCTTATGAGATGATCTTAATTAAATTGGAGAAACCGACACGATATTGAGTTCCATCGACTCTACTAAAAAAAATGTTTTATTTAAACAACAATGCATTATGCAAGTTTCGTGCCCGACTCGAGAATTATGTTGAGATGCTAAAATTTACAAACTTGTTGCAGGTGCTAGGTGTTTATGAATGGGCAGGGTGCAATCCACTGCCCCCGGAATTTTGGCTTCTTCCAAGAAAATTTCCCGTCCATCCTGGTATGTTTAAGTTGATATCGTTTTATTGAAAGGTAATTACGTTTCCATAGCTTCGATCAAAGGTTGGACATGATTTTAGTGAATCGACATGTTAACTAACGATCAATTTCAGGTAACAGGCTGTGCTATTGTCGTCTGGTTCATATGCCCATGTCATACTTGTACGGGAGGAGATCCATCGGGCCCATCACCGGATTGATTTTATCGTTGAGACAAAAGCTCCACACTGAGCCCTATAATGAAGTAAATTGGAACAAAGAAAGGAATACTTCCAACTATTCAGCAAACGCATAGAGGAACTTGATTACATGTTATATATGCTCTCATTTGTTGCAAGATAAGAGCGGAAATACAATAACACGAGTTGACTCACTGCTCAAGTAGTTTCTCCTTTTTGCGCTACTTCTTACTCAAATTTAACAGAAATTGGACTCCTGACCGAGTATTTTCCAGAAACCCACTTCAGATGCCCTTGGGTGAAATCGCCAGCCTTATAAGTGGAACTGGCACGACTGAATGTGACCGAGTAGGTCGCATTCTGGCCTACTTTTGAGAAGTAAAGCTTGGCAGGCTTCACACTGACATACGCACCTGGCGGGGGAACCACCGTGATGTCATAGGAGGAATATGCGGCCCCGACATTAGTCACGGTTCTGGTAAATGTCTGCGGAGGCCCGAGGGCAACTTGAAATGAAGGGTAGTTCAGCTGTCCCTCGGGGATGCTTGACATTCCAGAGCATTGTATTGGCCTATGAGTGATTACTCCCACTTCCTTGTCGCTGTATCCAAGACCACAGAGGTAAGGTATGTAGTCATCTGGCTGGATATCGTAGATAAGGCCCGGTTCAAGGGCCTTTAGAGGGTTGACGTGGCCGGCACCAGTAGCAAAGACATCCGCAGGTTTAAGTGTTTGGTCCAGAATGGGGTTCTTCATGAGGTTTAGCTGGTCAGCTGTAGTCATGATGGCAGATTTAACAGCTGCCGGTGACCAGTAAGGATAAGTGCTCTTGATCAAAGCGGCGATACCACTAAGGTGAGGACAAGACATGGAAGTTCCCGAGATGACATTGAAGGTGAATTTAGATTTCGTAAAGTTGTTCAGAGGAAATGGCCACGCTGCTAGTATGCTGACGCCAGGACCAATGATGTCCGGCTTCAGGATTCCGGGACTAACTGTGCTCGGGCCTCTTGAAGAGAAGGAAGAAACGGCCGGAGCAGTTGGGTTCCCAATCACAGTTCCTTTGAACACGATCGTAGCAGTCGGGTATTTTGTCGAATTAATGTACGATTTGATCTTTTTCCCAGAAGAAAAGCTGACATGGGATGCAGGAAGGACGTGAGCATCGACAGAGGTGCTGAATGCATCGATTTCTTGGTTCATTAGAATCATGGCAACCCCACCAGCATCTTTCACTTCCTGTCCTTTGTCTATTCTGCCCACTACCCCTCTTTCGCACAACACTACCTTCCCTTTTACGTCAATGCCTTTCAATGATCCTGGGGCACAGAGCGCCGACTGGTTATTGCCGTTCCTCCCGGCATACACAAGAGGCAGCAATGTCGAAGGAAAGTAGGGTTGGAATAGTGACTCGCCAATGTATTCCATTCCATTTCCGAGTTTCACCGTTGCTATGATGTTCCTGTCAATGGTGCTTGCTCCGACAGTGAGAATCCACGGTGCGTCATTTGACAATGTGCTTGGGATAGGGCCGGAATTCCCTGCCGCGCAGCTCACGAAGATCCCCTTCTGAATGGCTGCAAATGAACCAATGGCAACGGTGTCATTGAAAAATGGAGCTGAAGGACTGCCCAATGAGATCGAGAGGACATCAACCCCATCAGCAACAGCGGCGTCGAGTGCGGCGAGTATGTCTGCCTCAGGACAATCTTCTCCAAAGCACACTTTATAGATTGCTAGGTGAGCAGCCGGAGCCATGCCAACTGCCGTGCCTCTGGCATTCCCAAGTGCATCGGCTTGAGACACAAAAGCGCCAGCAGCTGTGCTAGCCGTGTGAGTGCCATGCCCATCCTCATCAGTAGGAAGGGCAATTCCACTTCCCTTAGCTGAGAGGTCAAAGGACCTTGCGCCAATTAATTTGTTATTGCATTGGGACGGTTTGAATTCGCACCTCCCTTTCCATTTAGCTGGTGGAGGCGGCATTCCTGCACCGCTAAATGAAGGGTGATTGGGAATAATTCCACCATCCAGCACACCAATAATCACTCCCTTTCCTAGATTCAAGCCCGCCAAGGATCCTTGTTGCTGTGGTAAGCCTAAGAACTGGGGACTGTGTGTTGTTTGAATGTGATACATTTTCTCGGAATGAGCCGACACGAATCCTTCCTTCTTTTGCATGGCAGCTACTTCCTCTGGACTCAGTCTCGCTGCAAAGCCAGTCATCACATTTTGGTAAGCGTAAAGCATACGCCGCTGGTTTTCCATGGTTGTGCTATCAGGCAAAAATGACCGGTACCAAGAATGAATGTCCTCATCCTCCGAGAGAATTTGGCCATCGGGGTGGCTCACATGGATTATGTAAGTTTGCAAGTTATCAGCATGAGTCAGCTCAGGATTGACATTCAACAACAGGATAACAAGGCCGAGGAGGGGAACGAAAGCCATACTAGGTGCTGAGGTAGTAAGTGAATTAAAAGTCGAATTGGAGTCTGTGTTATGTGGCTAATTAAAGCAGCTATTTGTATGGAAGCGGAAAAAAGGCATATGCCGGCATGTGCATATGAGTACAATTCTTGAATGCTAATTAAATTAAGGTGTTGCCGAATGAGAGTTTGTCTTAATTGGCTCCTGGATCTGGATTTAGCACTGGAATCATTGGAGCATCATGATTTGGCCAGTGAAGAATTGTTCAAACGATTCCTTTTAGCGATGTGGACTTGTTAAAAGATATTATTCCTGGAGCATAATGATTTGGCCAGTGCGGAATTGTTCCAACTCCTTGAACAGTATGCAGCCGGTGCATGGCCATTTGCGTCGATGAGAATAAGTTCAGTTCGGCCTTTTGGAGTAACCTGGAAACTTCTTCTGACTTGGCGTTCGGCATCATATGTACCTTCCACATGGGTGCTGACCGCTCATTACAATTTATGCATGACCAGAAGCAGAAAGAGCGGCAAAAATAACCAAGCAACAGAATGCACAAGTCATAGCATTGCCTTGTTACATCCCTCGCACCTTTTGAACGAGCTCATAGAATCTTAAAAGTTAATGATGAAAGTATCGACAGTGTGATGGTTCCAACCTGGCCAGCATGTCGGTTCAAACTACAATTGATGACTCCGTTGCGATCTTGGTTTAATCACTTTGATTTAGTTGAACAACATGGTTATATCTTCAGTGTTTATTCTAGACTGTACATCAAGACAGTGGATAAGGCAGCATTTTGCTGTTATATCAATGCGGCGCTTCAGTTGACTTTTCCCAGTACCGGGGAGGCAGGTGCCTGTTAAAGTCTACAATTGATCTAATGTTGAAGATTCAGGATATTGGCATTTCAGTTATGTTAAAAGTGCAGTGTAGTTAGGATCAGTGAAAAAGTGTCACCCCGAATCCTACAGGAATAGGAACAGGAACAGGGTTAATGACACGGCTATCCTTCTCTCCACCTGAATGACACGGCCTTAAACTAAAATCAACGTATCAAAGTATGTATAATCCAACAAAAGGTATGTATATATATCCAACGCATACCCAAAATCCAACTATTAAAAGTTTCCCTCTATCAGCTCTCGTCCTACTTGACGCTAACTAAGGCTCTTGAAAAACGTGATAAGAAGAATGGAACGAGCAACTACAGTTTGGTGAGTGATACATTTCTTCTAAGTAGATCGAATGTTCACCACGCATATTTATAAAACGATACCATCATTATTAATCTCAAAACTTGAGTACTATATACGTAAAATATCAAAAGTGGATAATATATTTGCAACAAACCTTTTTATGTATAAGATCAATAACAATATTAACTCACGATAACAATTCAACCATCAATGGTCTATTCCATTCAACAATCTAAATCAAGTCAAATATCAATGGTCTATTTCATTGACTAATCTAATGTTCAACATCAAACTATGGTCACAATTTAATGCTCGTGACAAATGCGACCAAGTTTATCCCTTGGTTAGGTCTACCACTTATATCATCCAGTGATTTGGCCTAGAAGGACGTCCGGATAACGGTATGCATACATACCCCCTCAGTGGATTCTAATCATAAGGATATGAACATACTCTATCAACCTCAAACTCTAATAATAATAACTCACATCCAAAAATAGAAATCATCTCGTAATCTGGTTTCATAAAATGAATTATATAACCTTTCACAATTTCATTTATTAAATAGAATGCATTTTATAAAAGATTTCGCAATCAATACATATAGCTTTTTGGCAATTCCTTTCGCAAAGCATTTAGTCAAAACATCCACAAATGATCATTTAAATCTTATTTCAAATAAGGCTTTCCAATGCATTTTTCAACCAACTACAAAAGTAGTAAAAGTTCGATCCAATTTATGCAAGAAACATGCTTTTCCATAGCTCATACTATATTAAATGTCTACTACTTTCCAGATATGAGTTAATAAATTTATAGAAAAGATAGTACCACTTACTTGAAAAAGCCGAAAAGCAACCTAAGATGGTTCTCACACTGACGCACTCATATTCTTATTAATTAATTAAAAAACGATATCAAAATCTAAGTAAAACATTATTCTAATGGACGATTCGACTAACTATGCTTAATCATCATTGAATCAACTCCTATGCACTAAGGCTCACCCACAACGATTATTCACGCGGAACTCACACGTGAAACACTTAAATTCCCTACGACTAAACCACTACTCCAAATCGACTCCCGTCAAACCCCACGACTCCTCAACGCCATAATTCTCCATTCCCATGAAATCTTATAACTCAATAACTCAAAAATCGGACTTCATATCTCAAAATCGACATAATTTTGAATTTGTGCCCTAAGTTCGAATGTTACTTCGATTAGACGAACAATATGCTTATATACTTAACCGATATTGCAATTTGAAGTTGATTCGACTTGTCGAGATATTTAGATCGTGAACGTGTGAAGATTTTTCCCTCTTTCCCTCTTTTTATTTCCTCTCGGTCGAGCCCTTCTTTTCTTCTTGTTTTGTCCGCCGAGTCCTCTCTTCTCTTCCTTTCTACGCTCACTTGCACTAACTGATGAGGGAGAAAGAATATGGTTGGGCTTGGGCTTTTTTTATTTGGGCTCATCTATTACAAAAAGTACAATTTGATTGAACTAAACACTGCATAATGAGTAAAGTGATGTCAGGACCTTCTGAATCATCATAGTTCGGCTTCATCTACGGTTGCACCTTGCAGATATTTTTGCTCTTTCAATCAAACCCAATGTTGTGTTGGAATCATAAAGCTTCATTTACCTCTAATGACAATTTCTGTTTTTGATTTGAGAGGAAAGAGGAGTAGGGATCCAGTTGTTCTTCTAAAGCGAGGATTACTATGAAGCAAATGATTATTCAATCAATTCTAACTCGTTAGATTCAATCTATTAGTTTTCCTAGGTGGAATCTAGCCATACAGCAGATGCACTCTTGAGTTCTTAGCACTCACTTTCACATATTGTCAATCTTTTTGAGTTTTAGGAAGCAGAATGTAATGAAAATAGCTTCTAGGTAATGCCCCAGGAATTAGTCTTTTCTAGTTAATGATTGAGTTCATGCCGGGTGCTTATACAGTGGAACTATAAAATTTCTGGTGATTCTATAATGAAATCTCAATCCGAAACTGTTCTGCTTTTTGCAGATGACTACTGAGAAAATCCTTTACTGAATAGAAAGCACTTCTTTATAGCCTTTCTATCGTGATGTTTCTTCTTCTTTTTTTTCTGGTTCGTATTGGACATGGTGGCTTTTCTCAGGGTAGCCCGTGAATGACTTTCGTGTTATATTTAAGGATAAACATCTTGCTGAATATCAAAGATCTGTTCCTATTGATACCAATGAGATCATCTTAGTGGATAAAATCAGTAACATTGTAAGACTGGTCAATGCGCAAGCCATCCATCATCACCGAAACAATCTTTGTGGAAGGTTTTATAAACCGCAATAAACTACTGAACAACAGCCCAATCAACTAAGAGGATAGAAAGGGGCAAATTACTATCATCTGAAGTTTGAACTAGCTCCGAGTTCTCTTCAGGGACCAGTTCACCGTCTCGTTCCAAATACAATGAAACAGAAATGATTCCATATTCCTATCGTATCTTTTATTGTTTGAGAGAGCGAAACATAAGGTCTTGATCTTGCATCACCACTTGCTCCTTTATCTGGAGTCTCACTCTATCTTGCAGAGTCTGGCAACAGAGTGAACATTTCATTTAAATACAACAGCAATGGGGCTTCTCACGGAGTGATCTGAAGAAACCCATGTCAGGGATCCTTGTGCAAATGGCTTAGTAATACTCCCACTAGAACTTCTGCTGAACCCGACGGTATATGTGGCCGTTTGCACTGCCATACTGAACTTGATCTCAGAAGGATACACCGTGACATCGACACCTTCCGGTGCATCAACCTTGTATGTATACGAGGAGTCAGTGGGCCCGACATTCGTAACTGTCCTAGAATAGCTCTGGGCGCTAGAACCCAGAATTATGCTGAACGATGGGTAATTCAGCTGTGCTTCAGGTATGCTTTTTATTTGTGAGCATTTGACCTTTTCCTGGGTGATGGTTTCTATGTTGGAATCCGAGTATCCCAAACCACATAAATAAGGGACGTAGTCGTCGGACTTGATATCGTAAATAAGGCCTGGATCGTCTGCTTTGGGTGGATTCACGTGGCCTGAGCCTACGGTGAAGATGTCAGCTGGAAGAAGGGTTTCATCAACGATTGGCTTACTTCCAAGGTTCAGTTGATATGCAGTGGTCATGATTGCGGATTTTATGGCGGCAGGTGACCAATCAGGGTGTGCGCTCTTCAGCAGAGCTGCAACGCCGCTGAGATGAGGGCACGACATGGAGGTTCCAGAGATGATGTTGAAGGTCGCACCGGTAGTTGTGCTGTTATCGAGAGAGAATGGCCAGGCTGCTAGGATATTGACTCCTGGGCCAATGATGTCTGGCTTCAGGATTCCAGGACTCTCAAAGCTGGGACCCCTAGATGAGAAGGATGTCACTGCTGGTGCATCAGAATTCCCAATAATTGTTCCTTTGAACAAAATGGTGGCCGTCAGATTGGAGGCTGAGTTGATGTAGGCCTTGATTTTCAGACCATCAGCGTAAGGTATGTGGGTTGCGGGAAGGACATGAGCCTCAGCTAGGGTGCTGTAGCCGTTGAGTTCGTCGTTCATCAGAATCATGGCAGCGCCACCAGCCTCCTTCACTTCCTGCCCCTTGGCGATTCTTCCGATTCCTCCGCCTCTCTCGCACAAGACCACCTTTCCTTTCACGTCCGAGTTCCGTAACGATCCTTCAGCACATAATGCCGATTTTTGGTATCCATTTGCGCCTGCATACACAAGTGGGTAAGCCGATCCGAAGTCCTTGGGCTGGAAAAGGGATTCACCATCATACTCTGCGCCATTTCCTAGCTTAGCGGTAGCTTTTATGGTCCTATCAATCGTGCTTGCCCCTACGGTGAGAATCCATGGAGCCTCGTTCGACAGGGAAGTGTTGAACGGGCCACTATTACCAGCTGAGCAGCTCACGAAGATTCCCTTTTGAATCGCAGAAAATGCCCCGACAGCTATGGAGTCGGCATAGAACGGAGCTGAAGGAACACCAAGAGAGAGGGAGAGCACATCAACACCGTCCTCGATAGCAGCGTCCATGGCGGCCAGTATGTCGCTCTCAGTGCAGCTTACATGGGAGCACACCTGGTACATTGCCAGGTGGGCACGAGGCGCGATCCCAACGGCAGTGCCAGTGGCTTGTCCCAGGACGTTGGCATTCTTTACAA